AGTCCATGCAGTTCTTAATCCATGCAGATGCTTTTTTAGCCATGGCAAGGCCCCAGATTACAGATCCAAGCTCCTAAGGCATGTTTATCACGTAAAGTTGCAATCTTTATGTACATGCAAATCTCTAAAGTCCCGAAATGATCAATCTAAGCTCTTTAATGGATTTTTACACCTTGGGAGAGTTTCATCCTTGTACAATCTGGGAACTTTATGGATCTAGAGGTCAAGGGAAGTCCAGATCTGAAGTTACAACTTCAGATCTTAGCTTAAACATGGAGAGCCCTTCATAACACCCATCCAAGGGAGGATCAAAGTGAAAAGAGCTTAAGGAACAGCCTATTACCTTCCAGAGAGTGATGTCTGATTCAATCCCTTAGCTTCCCATGAGTTCCTAGCCTTGCTTTTCCTTGTTTCTTTAAGTGCTTCCTTCCAAGGTTACTCCTTCAAGCTTGGACACACCAAAGAACATACACACACACACATTTTAGGGTTTGAGAAGGACAAGAAGCATAAGGGTGGCTGGTGGAGGCCAATGATCCTTTAAATAGGGTGTAAAACCCCCAGAATTTAGGGTTTCATCTGCCAGCTCCTACTCGCCGAGTCCCTTGGTGGACTCGCCAAGTAGGTCACTAAACACGTGTTCCATTCCCACTACTACTCGACGAGTAGGGCAACCAACTCGCCGAGTAGGACATAAGACCAATTAGTCTTTAATTAAATTCATACCTGGAAATCGGGGCGTTACAGTCGATTTTCTTTTCTACCCCGAAGGGACAAGTGGTGATATGGATGGTGATTGATCAGAATAAATGTGTAGTTTTGTTTCATGACATTTATTATGTTTTTATGTCATATTAGTTTCATGAGAAATGATGTCGTCACAATTTTATGTCATATTCGTTTCATTAGAAATGATGTCGTCACAATCTTCCCAAATTAATAAAATATGAATTTATTTCTCTAAGCCGAATGTTTCTTATGTTTTATTTATTTAATGAAAAGAAATATAGATATTCGCAAAAGAAAAAATGAAGATATATTTCTTGTAGACAATGCAATAACACATAGCGTTTTTAATAATGAAAAGTACTTTGCTTATTTGTCAATTAGAGAAGCAAATGTTAATATAATAACAGGTAATGCAAAAATGATTGAAGGCTCCAGAAGAGCGAATATGATATTACAACAAGGGACACCAATTATAAATTAGCGATGCATTATTTTCGTCTAAATCACCAAGAATGAAGGCTCCGAAAGAGCGAATATATTATTACCATAAGTGATAATAATTACAATTGGTGATGCATTATTTTTATTAAAATCACCAAAAAAAATTATTAAGTTTTAAGGATATTCGGTCTAACGGATATACTATTGAAACAACTAATGATGGTAATAAAAATTATCTCAACATTACAAAAATGATATCGGATAAGAAAATTTTTTTTGTAAAAAATTACTTGTAATGTCCTCTGGATTGTACTACACAAATATTACAATGATTCATGCTATTAAAAATATTACAATGATTCATGCTATTGAAAATAAAAAAGCTATGATATTACCTTCATAGTTTGGCATGACCGGTTGGGCCATCGCGGATCAATTATGGTAAGTAGAATAAATAAAATTTCAAGTGGTCATTCCTTGAAAAACCAGAAGATTTTTCAAGATAATGAATTGTGTTGCATGCTCTCAAGGAAAATTAATATTCAGTCCATCATTGAACAAAGTTGGGTATAAAGTCTTAGTTTCTTACAAAGAATTCAAGAGGATATATATGGACAACTATTGAACATCATGTTGCATATGTTCATACACAAAATGGTTTAGTTGAGTCGTTAATCAAACACTTTTAATTAATTGCAAGACCATTACTAATGCATTCTAAACTTCCTATATTGACATGGGGCATGCAATTTTACATGCAACATCACTTATATGCATAATGACAACTAGTTATCATGAGTTCTTCCTTATTCAACTGGTTTGCGGTCAGTAACCAATTATTTACCATCCAAGGATGTTTGGATGTGTAATTTATGTACCCATTTCTCCACCTCACTTCATAAAAATGAGTCCTCAAGAAGGATGAGAATTTATGTTGGATATGAATCTTCATCTATAATAAAATATTTAAAATCATCAATTGGAGATTTATTTACAACTATATTTGATGATTATTATTTTGATGAATCATATATTCCAACATTAGGGGGAGAAATAAAGAAGCTGGAAAATAAAATCTCTTGAAAGGAATTGTCTCTTTCAGTTTTAGATCCTCGTTCAAGTCAATGTGAACTTGAAATAAAAAAGATAATTCATTTACAAAATGTAGCAAATCAATTGCCAGAAGCATTTACTGATCCTAAGTGGGTAACAAAGTCTCATGTACCGGCTATACTTACTCAAGTTAGAATTGATATCCCAGAAGGAAAAAAAATACAACTGCAAATGAATCTTAGGCACGCCTGAAGCATGGAAGATCAGCAAGTTCCAAAGATAAAAATCCTCGAAAATGAAATGAAGCAAATACAATTTATGGTCCAAAAGAGAAAACGGAATCTCTTGAAAAGATTAATGAAGCTCTAGAAGAGCCCAATGACATAACAAAAGAAAATAAGGTACCTGAAAAAAATGAAAATGATGAGATCTCAATAAATTATGTTATGACAGGAATAAGACGGAACCAACATAAGACAGAAGTCGACGATAATTTTTCATATCATGTTCCGCGCGTGATTATAAAGAAAATAAGGATCTTGAACCTAAATCTATTGAGAAATGTATGAATAAAAAATATTGGCCAAAATGGAAAGATGAAATAAATAAAGAGTTTAATTCTCTTACCCAACGAAAAGTTTTTGGACCTGTAGTCCGTACACCAAACAGAGTAAGAACAATGGGACACGAATGAGTATTTGTGTGCAAAAGAAACGAGAAAAATGAAGTTGTGAGATATAAAGCAATACTTGTTGCACAAGGTTTTATCTAAAGACCCGAAATCAATTATGAAGAAACGTATTCTCTGGTAGTTGATGCAATTACATTCAGTTATTTTATAAGTTTAACAACATATGCAAAACTAGAGATGTGTCTAATGGATGTATTTACCGCTTATTTATATGGTTCACTTGAAAATGATATTTATATGAAAATCACAGAAGGGTTTAAGGTGCCAGAAGCACAAACTTCTTATTCTCGTGAAGTATATTTGGTAAAATTAAATAAATCTATGTATAGATTGAAACAATCTGGTCGTATGTGCTTCAATTGTTTTATTACATTTATGTTGAAAGAGTGCTATAAAAATGATCCATCAAGCTCATGTGTATTTATAAAAAGATCCATATAAGAATTTATCATAATTGATGTTATTGTAGATGATTTGAACATAATTGGAACTCCCAGAGAATTGGAAAAAGGTCACTTCTTGTTTGAAAGAACTTTTGAAATGAATGATCTTGGTAAGATGAAATTCTATTTGGGTCTTCAAATTAAGCACAAAAAAATGGAGTTTTTGTACATTAATATCTAGAAAAGGTGTTAAAAAGGTTTTATATGAATAACTCACATCCATGAGTAACCCAAAGGTGGTAAGGCACTTAGATGCCAAAAATGACCAATTTCAGCATCATAAAAAGCATGAAAATCTTCTTGTTCCCGAAGAACTATATCTTAGTGCTATTGGTGCACTAATATATCTTACTATTAATACAAGACCTGATAAATCTTTTGTCGTAAACTTATTAGCAAGATATAATACTTGTCCAACAAGAAGATATTGGAATAGAGTCAAACACATTCTTTGATATCTTCGAGGTACAATGGATATGAATTTATAATAATCAAATTCATAAAATGTGAAGTTAATTAGTTATCCAGATGCTGGATATTTATCTGATCCACACAAAGCTCGATCCCAAACTGGTTATTTATTCACTTGTGGAGGTAACACAATTTCTTGTCATTTTGTTAAACAAACTTTAGTTGCTACTTATTCTAACCATGCAGAGATTATAGCAATTTATAAGGTAAGTCATGAATGTATTTGGTTAAGAACTTTAACTCAATACATTTGCAAGAATTGTGGTCTAACTTCTAACAGGGATGTTCCAACCATACTATATGAAGATAATACAACTTGTATAGCTCCATTCAAGGAAGGATTCATCGAAGGAGATAGAACCAAGCATATATCACCAAAGTTTATTTCACTTATGATCTTCAAAAAGAGTGTGACATCAACATCTAGAAAATTCAATTCAATAACAACTTTCCTGATTGGTTTACTAAAGTACTTCCTACATCAAAATTAGAAAAGATGGTACGAAACATTGTTATGCAGTGCTTCAAGAAAATCAAGTGATGTGCTAATCATGGGGAGTTGGAAACATATTGTACTCTTTTCCTTAGTTATGTTTTTCCCACTGGGTTTTCTTAATAAAGTTTTTAACGAGGCAATTGTCTCCAATATCTATTATTAATCATGTACTCTTTTTCCTTAATAAAGGGTTTTTCTCATGAGGTTTTACCGATTAAGGTTTTAATGAGGCATGATACAATCGTCATTCAAGGAGGAGTGCTATGAATTGTTATTTAGTGAATGACTATTAGATTCTCCATATTCCCCCATTACTTTCCATAATTAGTGAACATTATAGCAAACATTATTATGAGTTATATGAGTGTAGTTATGCACCACTATAATGAGCATTCATATCATACATCACCTTTCATCTTCTGTGTCTAGTATAAATAGTGAATATTATGTATTGTAAAGTTTGATGAATTCATCACAAGTATTGGAATAAAAGTTCTCTCTACTCTCATATCTTTCTTTACTCTATAACTTATCTTGTTATTTGATCATATTTTATAACACATACTTATTTGTTCGGAATGTAGCATCAAATGAGATCACATCTCCAAACTCTATCGGTTTCATCCGCCCAAAAAATTGCGTTTAACATACTATCAACACATTTATACTCAAACGTCTAGTTATGTAACTCATCTTTCCTCATGTTCATTTTGTCGACAACTAGCTGTGTATCCTTGTCACCTATAATGTTTCCCATCTTCCTTTTAAAATTTTTATAATCAATTGCTTCAGGGCCAACGCTTTCATAACCTCCTTGCAAACTAGCTTGTAACTTATGTGCCTTTGTTGCACCAATGTTAGATGTTGAAGAACGCACTATAAACTCCTTGTCTTTATAACTAAGTCGTCGTGCACGTTTGGAATACCGTCTTTCTTCTTTAGTTTCTAGGGGGTGGTTGTGACTCCCTTCAAACTCATATATTTTACAAGCATTAGTTCGCATATGTAACCTTTCAAACTTTATAAATGCCTTGCAGTCCGTGATTCTAAAGTTTGAGTTTCGTTTATTCCTTCAACTTTCCTCAGGATCCAAAGTGTCAGTTGATCTATTAGGTATTTTACCCATTTTGTTGCACACTACATACCTTTTTTAATGGTTTTGTCACCAAACCTCGTTACTATATTTAACCTGACACCAAAACCTACTTTATCTGCATATAATTTATAAATTTCAACCGTCTCCTCTAATGATTGATAAGTAGCATCGACATCTGACATAAATTCTTTAGGAACAATAGGTTTCCACAACTTGGTTTCATATCGGTCGAGTCAACAACATTACTATTGAATGATTCATCTTCAGAATCAGTTTGATTTGTACCTGTTTTTTTAGACAACAAAAAACAATAATGCGACATGAGAGACATGATATAAATTTCGATCAATTACGTATACATAAACTAAACAATTTTATGATCATATTCAACGTCTGTGAAACAATAATCAAAGTTGAAGTGTTTACTCATTTTAATCGTATTAACACATAATCACCAATGCTTATCAAACTTAATCAACATTGTATTAAACTTAAGAAACAATGTACAACGATCTGTGCTATACACTAGCATTAACTAATTAATACATACAACGTATATGCTTAATCGTATACAAATATGTACTGAATAAATGACAGGTCTTATTCATCATATACAAAAAATCAATAATGATTGTAATACACGATCTGTATTTAAAAGATGTTGATGTTGTTCTCATTTGTTACCTTCACTCGCATAATCAGATAATTGATTTTTTCCGCTGTAGTGATCATCCGAATGATAGAAATCGTCTTCATCACATTGATTATTTTCGAATGCTTCGTCACCATATTGATCATCATCTTCGGTATCATCCCTACTGTAATCAAAACAGTCCGACATCGATATTTTGGGTTAACAAATTCCAACGTTGTTATCTTCAACCGTAAACGATGTTACAGATACAAATGTCGATTGACTAAATCACGAATTGTATACTGGAAATCGTATCTTCAATTCCATATCTCCTTGAACGATAACTATGGAATATCCCTTAATTATAGGTAAATATTAATAGATAATATATTGATTATTAATTGTATTATATTAATTAAAAATTATATTAAATACAAATTTACTTAAATACCCTAATAAAATGATTGTCTGATAAGTGTTCTCGCGTTCTCAACCTTTTAGGCGTTCTCATTTGATCCTAATATATATATATATATATATATATATATATATATATATATATATATATATATATATATATATATATATATATATATATATATATATATATATATATATATATATATATATAAACACCTCAATCGTTTTTTTTTTCTCAAAGAGTATTAGTATGCATCGTTAAATTATGATCAACGAATGTTTTATGTTTATATGAATCTCTACAAATTATGTATGTTTGTTAACGAATAATAGTATGCATTTTCCCCCCAAAGAATTAGGAATAAAAAAATTATAGAATATTATCTAATATGATCTATTCTATATACTGTTTTTCTAGAATATCTAAAATTATTTTCAAATTACGAATTATACTTAAAAAATATTAAAGAGAATGTTTTCGTACGTTTATTATTCAAAATATGAATAATAATAGAAAGATCTATTAATTTTTCACACTCATATGGATATAATTTTTAAAACCTAAAAATGACAATTTTCTGCATATTTGTTTTTATTGCTCGGAAAAATAAAAGAACTAATATTTTTAAAACTAAGGTTAAAAACTAGAAATTTCAAAAAAAAAAAAAAAAACGTTTTAGAATTATGTAGGTAGGTACACCGTATACCCGCTTTTAGTGTATAAAAATAATAAAATTTGGCATATTTGATTTATTTCCAAAAACTAAATTTAATTAAACTATGTATATCATTATTGAGCATAAAAACTAATAAACTTAGACATTTAAATTTTAGACAAAACTACTAAAACGATTTATTGATTATGCATTTTTTTTCAAGAAAAATATTCAATGCATTAAAATTTTGTATTGATGATCTTTTTTTTTCAACAAGTTTAGTTGTAGTTTTGTTTCATGTCCAAACTAAAAAGATATATTTACCTTTTATATTTTTATTTTTTATTTTTCTTATTTTTTTTTAATATTTTATTATTATTAAATAAAGAAATGACTCCCAATCTCTCTCTCAAACACACACATACACACTTCCACATTAGTTGTTTATTTGGCCGTAAGATACATCTACCTCCTCCCCTTTGTATCGTTGAGCATTCCATTAGTCATATCTTCATCACCAACAAAAGCACTTCTGACGATTACTAGCGTCTTCGACATTTGTATCTCCGATAATATTGAACCTAGTACCGGTCTTGTGGTTATTTCCCCCTCAACCCCGTCGGTCACATTATTAGTACCAGCCATTGCAGTGTAAACATCTGTAGACTGATAACGATGGTGACCTATTTTCTCTGACTGCAAAAATGTTAACCACCTATTTTAACAATGGTGATCTATTTTCTCTGACTGCAAAAGTGTTATCCACCTATTTTAGTTGCACCCCACCATCTACATTCACTTATTGTTGGAATTCCCTTCTTTTATGGTGGCTGATAATTTTATAGGAAAAATAAAGGTGAAACGAAGATTCATCAATCATGCTTGTGAATATGGGGGGCATTAGGGGGTGGGGGTGGTAAAGTGGGCAGTTGCACATGACCCAATTTTTTTAATATATATATATATATATATATATATATATATATATATATATATATATATATTCAAAAAAAATGAAAAAAAAAAACTTATAATAACGATAAAGGTTTATTTTCTCTGACTCGTACTAAGCATTTGAAGATATATTTACATTCTCACGACCAACTATGCTTGTGAATGGAGTCGTGCTCATTGCATAAGAAACAATCTTATTTCTTTAAAAGAAATGGGCAGTTGTACATGATCCAATTTTTTACTATATATTATATATGCATTTATTTAAAAAATATGAAAAAAAAAAACCATATAATAACAATAGGGGTCCATTTTCTCTGACTCGTCTTGGTAATTTGATGATATTTACATTCTTAGGACCAGCCATGCTTGTGAATAGAGTTGTGCTCATTGCATAAGAAACAATCTTGCTTCTTTCATCTTTATTTTTTTTATGACCAAGAAGTATTAATGATTTCAATGTCTAAAAACTATTTGATAAAATGTATGAAAGAAGAATATCTTAAATGAAGAGGGAGTTCAATGTTTTTGATAGAATATGATTCTAATGAAGAGGGGGTTCAATGATTTTACAAGTTTCAGAACTTAGAATAACAAAACATGAGGTTGAATTAAACATAAGAATAAATCATTCCAATACAGGTATAATTGCTCCTTGATTCTATTTTGTTGAAGAAAAGTCAACATTTTGACTTCATATGTTATTGTAATTAATGATTTTATGCTTTAAGGAATTGAAATTCATTACTTCTGAAATCCGTCTCCAGATTCACCTCTATATCTACATCTGTGTCATACATTTCTTCTGGTGTTTTGGTGTTCATGTCGAACAACCCCATCATCGCTAGAGAAGAAAGTGGAGAAGGTGGGCTATAAGTGGGATGAAGGGTGTCGCATGGCTGTGTTTGTGGCGGATGGTTGAGTTTTTTCTTTGGTCAGGAAAAAGATAGAAGATAAAGAGCAGAGTCGATTGTGGGATTAGGATGGTGTCTGGGCTGAGGGTTTTCCGAGGTGGGTTTTCTATGGCAGTGATTTCTTCCAACTGAGAGAGAAAGATGTTTAAGTGTTTGTTTGTTTGTGTTTTTTAGTTTCAATAGCAAAACGATGAAGGAGAAGTGAGCCCCATATTTATTATTAATAGCACATTAAATATAATTATAAAAATAAAAAATTATGAAAAAAAATTATAGCACGAGGGTATTTTAGTCTTTTCAATTTTTTCGAATGACCAAAATAACAATTAAACTAGCTTAAAAAGACCATTAATCCGAAAAGGTCGTGGTTTAGACCAAATCCAAAAATAAAAAATACATATCATAGGGATCATTTTTGTAGTTTTGTCTTAATTTAATTTTTAAGAAAATTAAAGCCGGATAAAATGTAAAAAAAAAAAAAAAAAAAAGAAAGAAAAGAAAGAAAAAAAACAAAAAAAATAGCATATGTTAGGTTCATTTGAGACCACCTATATTTTGTGAGACTGTGAGACGTTTTTTTTTTTTTTTTTTACCTTTTCTAATTTTTTTTAGTTAATTCAAATTCCGAAAATAATATTTAAAACAAGAATTTTTGGATTTTCCCATTTATTTTGCATTTTAAAATTATTTTTTAGAATATGTACAATGTAATATTCTATTAGAATATTTCACGTATTTTTCAAAATAAAACGAGATTATTTTTAATTTTTTTATTATTTTTAGTTAATTCAAGTTCCGAAAATAATATTTAAAAAAAGAATTTTTAGATTTTTCCATTTATCTTGCATTTTAAAATTATTTTTTAGAATATGTATAGTGTAATATTCTATTAGAATATTTCACGTATTTTAAAAAAAAAAATGTATTTATTTTTTTTATTTTTTTTTTAGTTAATTCAAGTTCTGAAAATAATATTTAAAAAAATAATTTTTAGGTTTTTCCATTTATTTTCAATTTTAAAACTATTTTTTTAGAATATGTCAGTGTAATATTGTATTTAAATATTTCACGTATTTTTAAAAAAAAAAAAGGATTTTTTTATTTTATTTTTATTTTTTTTAGTTAATTCAAGTTCCCAAAATAATATTTAAAAAAAGAATTTTTGGATTTTTCTATTTATTTTGCATTTTAAAATTATTTTTAGATTTGGTCTCACGGTCTCACAAAATTAGAATGGTTTCAAATGAACCTGAACCTCTATATATATATATATATATATATATATATGTATATATATATATATATATATATATATATATATATATATATATATATATATATGCTTAGGTTAATTTGTTTTTATTAAGTATTGTGTGCCAGAATGCACAGATCTGGTCCAACGGATAAAATTAATTAATGGACATGATTTAAGAGTGTATGATATTACAATAGGGTAACATGTAACATATAATCATACAATTTTTAGAAAAAATGTATTTTGGAAAATTAAATACATTTATAAAAGGAAATTTTTGAAATTTTAGGGATGATTAATTCTCCTAATTTAAAAAATTTGAATTTTTTAATTAATTCAATATCAATTTTTACCGATTTTATTCTGTCAGAATATTTTTTGTTTGAATAATGCTCTTTCAGAATTTTATTCTAATAGAATATTATTGAAGAAAAACAAAATTCTTGAATCAGATGTTGAAAAATAACAAACATTCTAATATATTCTTATACATCCGAACTTAAATACGAATTCATACATATTCTTACAGACTAAAATCGTTATACATCTTAATATAATTATACATATTCTAAAAGAATATCAACAAAATTGATTAAAATTCTTAAAAAATAACAACATTCTTAAATTGTAAGTATGATCAAACTTTATTCATTCTTCAAGTTATTCCTATTAGGTCTTCAACGCCTTCTTCCAGCCATTCGTATCACAAATACAACAAAAACCAATAATTGTTAAAAACATGTTACTTGCAATTAACTATCACTTAATAGATTCTGGTAGAATACATAGAATACGACAAAATACAATGACTTTATTATGGTAGAATACATTATGATAGAATACAAAGAATTACATTCAAAAGTATTGTATTTACTGCTAATATAATTTTAGATTTCAAATATACAATAACGAGGGACAATAGAAATTGAAATTAAAAATCACAAATTGAACCAAAACAATACACATACAAATTAATTATCTTTTTAAACAATTACACAAAACATGTGTTGCTAGTAATTATAGCAGAATGCATATCACAAGGTTAAATTCATTGAATTCTTTTTCAGACATTTCAACAAACACTTGTTAGGCAATATAATCAAACAAGCCAAAAACCATGTTTGATTTACTTGTAATAGTTTACCTATTAACATAATTTCCAACAACATATTTGATTTAGAATGCATACCTCAAGGTTTAAAGCCAAACACCCATACTAGTTGTTGATCTGCCTTACTTCTCTCTTCCAACTGATTTCGCCAACAACGAGATGGGAACCCACGATGGATGGCCAAGGATCGACAGTCCGCCCTCAAATTGCAGTCGTCCCAACCACCTCCCTCCCATCACGATTTTTGAACCACCAGACCACTATTCGACTTCCCTCGATCGCCTGATGCCTTCTCGATCTGATGAAGACGACGATGAGGACCGAAGTCCCTTTCTCACCCCTCCTTGCGAATCTATTTGACTGTAACGTCCGTGTTTCTGGGCTTGCCATTTTTAGCAATGTAATAGTCTAGGTTAACCTTTATAACCTAATTTGAAATAATAAGAATGTATTATTTGTGAATTATGTGAATTATGTGTTTATTTTCTTAATTATTATAATATAATGAATTAAGAATAAAATAAGTGTTAAAATTAAAGTGTGAGATATGCCCGATATCTTTGCATGAAGATGTAGTGGTTGAAACAAGGATTCCGGAGATATATAGTGAATGCCGAAATCCGAGTTATAACGAAGAAGTTATGACTCGTCGAAATTTCGCGACAAAACCGGTGTGGCACAGCGTGACGTAAATAGTGAATTTATGAAGGAGTGATATTTAGCCTTAGTGATCAACACGGAAGACGTAGATAATGTTGAACCAAGAGCGTGCATAAAAAGAACGCCTAAATCTGACTTCGTATGAGGAAATTATGATTTTTCGAAGTTTCAGCTTAGCAGTAGACAGCCCAAAAGTTCGAATTAAGATCGAGCGAGTTTTAGCCGAAACTTTCTAAACAAGAATCGAAGATCTCGTTGATAGTATTGCATTGGTGAAAAGACAGACAAAAAAGGACGTTAGACGAAGAAGTTATGAATTTCTAACGAAGTTTTTTTGTCCCGGCCTACTAAAAATAAATAATAAAAAATAAAGTCAAAATTAGCCAACAAAGTCTAAACGAAAGTTGTAGAGTATAATCTCACCTACGCGTGGATATAAAGAACATCGAAAATGGAGCTCGTATGCGAAGGTTATGAATTTTTGAAGATCGTGGCATACATACCAAAGCTTATCCGAAGCGTACGCCCATCGTAACCAAAATTACACCCAACGTAATCCCAGACCCAGTAGCCTATAAATAGAAACCGAGATCAACCATTTTCCTTGCGAATTTTCTTCCTTTCCCTCTAAGTTTTGCATCGTTTTGCGTGCCAATCATATCCCGAAGCCCCGGCATCATTCCCAAGCCCCGAAGTAAGTTCCGAAGTCCCGAGGATCCCGAGAAGTGAGATTTACGAGCCAAAGCCCTGCCCGTGAGGAGCCCGGTTTTTGTGAAGATCTTCCAGATCTACGGAGGAACACTACTTCTGCAAGCCGTAATGCTGCCCGATCATCTTCTGATCAAGTGAGTGTATAGTCTCTTTCAATACACGATATTATACAAGTAATCGTTGAATGTATTTAAGAATACGGGTTGTGTGAGGGTATTATTATTACCTTCTAACACATAGACTTATATGACTCTCCTTGAAATTTCTTGTTATGTGTTTACGTGTTACTTGCTATTTGGATGGAGTATTGAAAGAGCATGTTATATAATTTTTCTTTTAAAAAAATTATGTATAAAACATGTATATTTTTATCTACTAATATGTTGGGTAGAACATGGGTAGACAGTTGATGTGCCATGAAATGAATTGATGAGAGGCCTTATTGTTGGTGTTATTCTAGTCATTCAATAGAGTATGGATGACGACCACAGACTATTCTAGACAGTCTTGTGGAACGCTAGCAGGCTCATAACCTGTATGTGTTGTGAATGATGTGTTCACCAGTGTACTCTATCCCCCACATGGTTTCCTTTAGGACACTTATTGTTGAGGAAGCCCCCTCTGCAGTAATGTCCATCCCGATGAAAATCCTAAATTAGGTTTATTATAATAGATGTTGTTTTTTGGGACGTAAAGTGAGGATAACGGAAATGGGTAATCGGGTTATTGTTGATTGTTGAAATTAAATATAATTATTTATTGTGGGTTGAAAACCCTATATGCTCACCAGACCCCCAAGCCCGACCCACTCAGTTTATTTGTATTACAGGAAGTGGCGCAAGGGCATAAGATGGATGAATCATCAAGTTGTTTTGTTTACAAGTCTGTATATGTATATATTTGTTAAATGAGTTGTAATGTTATCTTTTATGCTTTATGATCTGTATCGGAACACGACATCCCGATTTTTGATTATGAAATAAAATTATATTTCTTTATGAAATATTTCGATAATAAATATATTATATCATGTTTTGTTTTTGGGAACAAATTCTACATCTTTTTTAAAATCAAAATGATTTACACTGAAAATATTTAAAAAAACATAAATAAAACCGGTCTTTTCTGACCGAGATTTTGGGGATGTCACATTGACCCTCAGTAGTGCCCTTGATTTTTGACTGCTCT